CAATTTGCACTTCATCTAAAGCTGGTGAAATTGTGTTGTGAACTCCTTCACTTTTAGATCTCTCTATTATAGATGATGGGTCCTTAATAACATATCTCGATGGTACGATGGTAGTGAGGAAGTAAGTATAAGTATTTTTTTTTTTTGCATCTCTTTCCTCATCTTCTTCCATCTGTTAATCTTGTCACTACCTTCTCTCCTTATTTCCCTTTACAAGTTTCTCCACCACAAGAAAGTGCACTTTTTCAATTTAATGGATGCAAGTTTTACCCTTATAAATTCTAGCACCTCTTTGTACTCAAAGAGTCTCTGAATTGCAACCAAGCATCTTGATCCATCCACCCATCAAACTCTAGTAGATCCACTTTTATTCAAAAATCCCTTTGTCCTTCGTATGTCACATCCTCTCTTGACTTCCTCTGACAACAAAGTATGAATCATCATGGTCTTTCCTCCTCATCAATGATGTCCTCCCTATGAAAAGGATTCATATTCTTATCTCTTTCTCCTCTCCGACCCTCCATATCACAATCAAGGGTAATTTTCCCTTGGGTCCCATCATCAATATCCAGAAGCCTCTACTAAAATTGATAGATCTCTTATTGTATCTCTTACCAGATAGTTTTTGGCATGTTTCTTCTTGGTGGCATGGTTAGTGCTTGGATTTTTAGGAGTGGAAGAGGGTGTCTGAGGATAAGAAAGAAAATTTTTGGAGTGGAGATGTGTAGGAAGGCTAGAAAGCCTACAATAGAACTAAAGTTAGGTTAGCTCTCATACTAAATAATACCGGGGTTAACCTAAACCATAATGATAAAAATAAAAAAATATTACTCAAAAGTAAATAGGGTTATAATCAAATGCTCTTAAAATAAAAATACAACAATAGACACAAAAAAACTCAACCAAAGCATATCTCAAGGGTGGTAACCAGTGAAAGAGGTTGGGAGTTGATCGTGGGTGCAATCAAAAAGGGTAGGGAGAGTATTGGTCGGCAACAAGGAAAATGTTGGTGGCTGTGGACTATGATGGGAAGGTTTTATGTAGCTTGGGATGTTATTAGATGGCATAAAACCACTTTGTCAAGGCTAGAACAAAAGCTATGAAGCAGGGGATGGGATTCTGGGAGGCGGAAATAGTGGATAGCTAGTAGGAGTGGGGTTGCCTAAGCGTTGGAAGGTGGCAGCAAGTGATGACAGCAAGGTGAGAGGGAGTTAGGTGATAGGAGGCTACATGAAAATAACAAGGAGGTTATTTTTTGGGTGGTTGCATTTGAATGTGGTGATGGGGCTTGAGGAGGGAAGGTTGCTAACGAGTGACATTGTTGAGGAAAATCAACAACTCAGACTAGATACAACTGGAGCACTACTCATCAGCAAATATATCATCGAAGGAGAAAACCTAGACACTAGCAACATTTTAATAGAAATCATGAAAAATTTGAAAACCTAAAACACGAAAATCACACACACACACAACACACACACACACAAAGATATATATATATATATATATATA